GCTTCCACTTGATCAGCCATTGCTTGCAAAGAGCATTGTGCTTAAGTATCTCCCTTTGTGCTAATGCTTCCTCTGGTTCAACAACCACTTCTAATTCCACCTCAAATCCAGTACGTAACTCGGAAGAAGAGGAATAATTCCCAATAGCCCGTTTTAGTTGAGAGACGTGAAAAACAGGGTGAATTCTGGATGACTCCGACAATTGCAGTTTATATGCAGTTTCACCCATCTTCTGCAAAACTTTATAAGGCCCATAGAATCGAGCAGCTAGTTTGGGATTGATGCGTTTAGCTACTGACTGTTGCCTGTGAGGACGCAACTTTAGAAAAACAAATTCACCCTCCTGAAATGATATATTGTTCCTCTTCTTGTCAGCATAGTGTTTCATTAATCGCTGGGCCTTATCCAGATGAAATTTCAGTTGAGCAAGAGCTTCATCTCTATCAGCAAGATCATGGGCAACAACTTGTACCTTAGTCTCTCCTGGAAGAAATTTGATAATCCGTGGGGGTGGTCTCCCATAAATAATTTCAAAGGGAGTAAAGGCAGTAGTAGTATAGAAGGACGTGTTGTACCAAAATTCAGCCCAATGAACCCACAAAGACCAATTTCTAGGTTGTTCTGATGTAAAGCATCTTAAATAGCTTTCAAGGCACCTATTTAAAACCTCCGTTTGACCATCTGTTTCAAGATGGTATGAAGAGCTCATGTTGAGTTTAGTTCCCTGTAATCTGAAAAGTTCTTTCCAAAAACTGCTAATAAAGAGAGGATCCCTATCACTCACAATAGAAGATGGAATGCCATGCAAACGCACCACCTCCTTAACAAAAATTTCAGCTACTGTCCTAGCGGTGAAAGGATGCTTGAGGAGTATGAAGTGCCCATATTTAGATAACCTGTCCACAACAACCAAAATAGCTTCATAACCTTTGGATTTGGGCAACCCAGTAATGAAATCTAGAGATATACCCTCCCAGATATGAGAAGGAATAGGAAGGGGCTGCAACAATCCCCCTGGTGCAGTAGCAGCATACTTTTGACGTTGACACACATCACATCCACGTATATACTCCAAAATTTTCTTCTTCATACCCACCCAATAAACGTTTCCAGCAAGCCGTCTATAAGTTTTTAAGAACCCAGAATGTCCTCCTTCAGGAGAAGCATGAAACTCCTCCAATAACTTGGAAATGTAAGAAGAGTTAGCTGGTATAACTATACTCCCTTTATAAAGCAAGATTCCATTTAGCACAGCAAACCCTTTTCGTCTAGCAGAATCTTGTAAAAGTTTAGATTTTATTCACTGAATAGATTCATCTTCCTGAATTTCTTTTTTTAATTCCTTACCCTGAAACCATAAAGGATAAGACATAATAGAATTCAACTGCATTTCTCCATGAACCCGAGAAAGGGCATCCGCAACCTTGTTTTCATGCCCAGATTTGTAAACAATAGAGAATTGATACCCAAGCAAAATGTTGCAGGGCTGATGTAGTAATCTTCTGCTGTAATAACTCCTTCAAACTCCTTTGGTCTGAAAAAACAGTGAACTTCCTGTCAATCAAATAGTGGCGTCAATGTTGAATAGATAACACCAAAGCCATCAACTCACGTTCATAGGCAGATTTGGACAACTGTCCAACCGATTGAGCCTTACTAAAAAAAGCTATAGGATGATGATGCTGCATGAGAACAACCCCAATTCCACTACCAGACGCATCACATTCAATCTGAAACTCTTGTGAAAAATCAGGCAAACGTAAAACAGGAGTAGTAGTGATAGCTTCCTTCAACCACTGAAAAGCTATTTCAGCCTTTTCATTCCATACAAATGCTTCCTTCTTAGTTAATTCAGTAAGAGGCTTGGCCATCTTCCCATAATCCAACACAAACTTTCTGTAATATCCCGTCAGCCCCAAAAACCCTCTCACTCCCTTAACATTCTTTGGAATAGGCCAACTTAAAATACTGCTGATTTTGGTAGGATCCATAGTAACCCCTTTTTCTGAAATAACATGACCCAAATACTCAACCTGTCTTCTTCCAAAGCTACAATTTTATTTTTAGCAACAAATTGATGCTTCTTGAGAATATCCAACACTTTATATAAGTGTGATATGTGGGTAGACCAGCTGTCACTATAAACCAGTATATCATAAAAAAAAAACCAAAACGAAGTGACGAAGGAAAGGCCTAAAAACCTCATTCATGATAGATTGAAATGTAGCTGGGGCATTCATCAACCCAAAAGACATAACCAAGTACTCATAATGTCCCTCATGTGTCCTAAAAGTTTTCTCGATGTCTTCCTCCTTCACACGTATTTGGTGATACCCTGAACGTAAATCCAGCTTAGAAAAATAACGCATCCCATGCAGTTCATCCAATAATTCATCTACAACAGGGATAGGAAACTTATCGGGAACTGTCACCTTGTTAAGCTCTCTATAATCCACACACATTCTCCATGAAGAGTCCTTCTTTTTAACCAAAATGACAGGACTGGAATAGGAACTGTTGCTACGTCTAATAACTCCTGCCTCCAAGAGTCCACTCACCTATTTCTCAATTTCATCCTTATGATGATGGGGGTATCGATATGGCCTCACGCTAACAGGGCCCACACCTGGGTAACGAGTTATAGAGTGTTCAACCTCTCTTTTAGGTGGTAATTCCTGCAACTCCTCAAATATGATGGCATACTGTTGCAGTAATTGCTGCAATTGTTGAAGCTGTTGTTGCTCCAAGTCACTATCTCCCATAGCTGTATTCAACACTCCCTTTTTCCAATTTAACCCCTTTACAGTACAAAATTGATCACCAAGAAGCTCATTGAATGAAGGAATCAACTTCTCTCTACTGCTGCCAATATCTCTTAATTCCACCACACGTCCATTGTCCTAGAAAGACATGGACAAGTCTTTCCAATCAATAACCATTTTTCCCAAGGTTTTCAGCCATGCCATTCCGAAAATTAAATCCAAACCTCCAAGCTCCAGAACATGAGCATCAATTTGTATTTGAATTGTACCCATATCTAATTGAATTTTAGGACAAATACCCCATGTTTTAGCCCTACGACCATCCCCCAATTTTACTCCAATACCATCAGCCTCTTCCACCATTAAGCCCAAAGCCTGGACCACTTTGGGTGAAATAAAGTTGTGGCTGTCCCCGCTGTCCACTAGTACAATTATAGGAATTTCTCCCAATTTTCTTTCCAATCTCATGACATGAATTTCACCATGATAATCACCATTCAGCCCCAACAAATTCATAGAATTACAGTCCAACTGTTCCCCCTCAATCTCCACATCAAGAGTTTCACCCCTAGTGATCTCCTCTTCATCATTGAAACTTTCATCGGCACCCAAAAATCACCAACCTTAACTGCCTGTCCTGCCGGTCAGCACACACATGCAGGGGATGGTATTTGTCTCCACACCTAAAACATAACCCCTTATTTCTCCTTTCCTCAACCTCCTTATTAGAAAGATGCCTAACTCCCCTATCTCTGTAAGACGGTTGGGAACTCCGCTGGTTCACAGATGAAGACCCTACTGAAGCTTCAGATCTCCTCCCAGAAAAATTATCACCGTTGGCTGTTCCTTTATACCTCACATCACCACTCGTTTGAGTGTTTTCCTGCTGAAAATGCACCATATTTCCTCTGAATCCACGGGAGAGATTCAAATTATTACTCCAAGATTTACTTCTAGCAACATTGATGACAACTGTCCCACAAATCTCGGCCTCCACACACCTTGCCATGCGAATGGCATCCAGTCGGTTCTTAGGCTGCAATGTGCCCACCCGCAATCGAATTTGATCCTTCAATCCCTTCATAAAGAAGCCTACAAACTGATTTTCTGGTAAACGACCCACTTGAGCAGCAAGAAACTCAAAGATTTCAATATACTCTTCCACCGAACCCTCCTGCCTAAGATCAGCCAACTCCTCAAACGGATCATCCAAGCATCCTCCCCCAAAACGTATTCTTAGAGCATTCTTGAATGATTCCCAACTGGGAGTGTCCTCCGAATCCAACCACGTTTGAAACCAGTGGATGGTTCCCCCCTCCATGCTTAATCTTGCCAATCTAATCTTGTTAAATTCTGAAATGCCTTGCACCTCAAAATATGTCTCAGCTCTAGTAATCCACCCTCTAGGGTCCATCCCATTGAAAGAAGGCAGTTCTACCTTGGCCATCATACGAAATTCGTTCAATGTTTCCCGGTCCTCACCGCAATCATTCTCCCTTCCTGTATGCTTGCTACCAGAATTCTGCACCAACTCCACTAACGCCTCAAACCTTCCTGCCACCGTCTCCATGAAGGCGTCAAGTTTTGCTTCCAAGGAACTCAATCTTTCCTCTTTCGCCTCGCCCCGCACGGTCTCAGGTGCTCCACGTCTCGTCATTGAAAAAATTATGGATGAATTTTCCTTACAAGATTTGGCAGGTCGGACCAATGATAGGTTTTAAGGGAAAATGCCAAGATAAAGAAGAAAGAATGAAAGAAAATCTTCTTGAATTCCAGAACAGATACAAGAATACAAGCAAGTTCCAGAGCTAGGCTCCTCAGAGAAAGGTTCTCTGCCAGATTTACAAAAACAACCCTCCTAAAACTTATCCTCCCCCAAAGCACTTCTATCATCTCTTATTAATAGTTGATCATGAACAGTTAAACAGAAACAGTTGAACAGAAACAACTAATAACTTCTAACTACTTTTATTAACAAATTTCTTTCTCCTAGAATAAACCAACCAATGTTTTGCCTTGTTTGGTTCAACAACATTTACAATATTATTAGGAATATCAGGATTCCTAACAATTAACTACAGGATATACAATTAAGAATGATGTAGTGATGGATGATTTGTCTATGGAGGATATACTGACATCGGATGATTCATGTAGCTGTCTCCACCTAGTGAAAAAAGACTTTGTTGTTGTAACTTATTATATTCCCTCCTCTTTTAATTTGTTTTTGAAGTCCAGGACTCCAGGTGATTTTGAGATATGGTGTACTTATAGTTGCTTGTATGCTATTGGACAATATACTTGTGTGTTCAAGTTCTTTTTCATTTGTTATTTTGTAATATACTCAACAACTTTTGCCTTGCAGACCTTTGGATGGACTCCTGAAGAAGCCAAAATGCACATGGTCGCGGACTATTTTAGTCTTTCGGAAGTATGGATATTTCATAATCATTAATTAAAATTTATTATTATTATTTAAATTCTTTTTTTAGCTCCAAGTAATCAATGAATGTTTTATCTTATATTTCTTAAATTGCAGTGGAAAGTGATTACTGAGGTACTTGGGCCAAATCCTCGACATCTATTTGAACTCTATGCACTTAAACAAAGCAATTATCACCTAAAGTAAGAGTTTTTTTTTTTTTGAATTATTTTATTATATGCTTATAAAAAAATTGTTATAATATAAGCAATAATACTCTATTGAGCATTATCTGTAGGTGTTTTATATTGTCATAGGTTCTGTACCATTGTTACACATCAGTGGAACTATATGTCTGACTATTTCATGCTTTTGCTTAACTGTAGACCAACACAAGACAAGGCTTGTACCTTTGAGGACACTGTAGATGCATATATAGCATATTTGCAAGTAAGTTCAAATTTAGGCATGAAATATATCATCTTTCTAAATTGCTTGTCAGTGGGAATATATGTTTACTTGGATATTTACTTCTCGTATCCGTTCACAGAGACTGAAGCTCTTACGATTATAGCAACTAAAAATATATCTATGAAAATATAGAATCACTGTCTTTCCTCTTTAATTTGCCAAACAAATTTCCTTATATCATTAATTTTTGGGATTATTCAAGAAGAGCTCATAAAATGCATGATATATTTTATATATTGCATTAATTTTGCCATGATAGCAGGAATGCAATAGCATGGAAAATTTTCTCCTATGAAGAGATAAATTTTAGTTTTCATCATTTTAACAAAATTTGACAAAATGTGGATATATAAAAATTTTTCTTTCCTTTTCGTATGTTAGAATAGAGAACCAACACAAGGAGGATTTTCTACAAGAGGCATGATTAGAGACCAAGAAAGAGAAAAGAGAGTACAAGAGATCTTGTAAAGGTAGTTTGACTAGAAGTAAGGAATGAGAGCTTAAGGAAGAGCTACATCAAGTTGACCAAAGCATGAGGTTTGTTCGGACTGATGTAGATAGAGTTAATCTGACTTTATACACATGTTTTAGTGCTAGTTGGTGTTAAACTCTCTTGTTTGGTTAGGAGTAAGACTCTTTCTTCCTCTCATCTTCTTGGTGCCATAACTTGTAGTGGAAAGATCCACCCGCTCATGCAAGCCTAGCTTGACTTCTATTACCATGTAAAATCTTAATAGACTAGATAAACTGAGAGAGAAAAAAAAAAATCTAAAACTGTAATTTGGTTATTGATCACATTAAAGAGATTAGTACAGTAGGATTTACCCAATTTGAGATAATCCATATTAAATGTATTTGGACACTAACAAACTAACTTACTTTGTTAACTAACAAAGGACAAATATAACGTAACAAACTTACATTAGGAGCCTAGATCCATGCCTACAAAGCCTATACATTCTCTAACAAGTACAAAGTTAACAAAGTGTTCCAGTTTATGTCTAATCCCATAGAAGCTCACTCGGAAGCTATTAAACAGACACTTTGCCACCTAAAAGGTTAGGGTTCTATTGACCTTGGTTTAGTTTTGCAGCTTGCTTCTTTTGGACACTATTACCGTTTAAAGGTATGTTACGATGTTGATTGGGCCTCTGATGTTGATGATCACTATTCCACATGTGGTGCATGAATTCTTTTTGACCCCAACTAAATCCCTTGGTGGTTCATAAAGTAGACTCTTGTTGCTTGTTTAGTATTAAAGATGAATATAGGAGCTTGGCTTTCACTTTTACAGAATCCTCTAGATTCAATCTCATCCTCATGAACTCAACTTTGTTGTTGCTACTGTTGTGATATGTTGTCACGATCTCAACAGAGTTGCCCTTAGTCACTATCCTATTCTCCATTCAAGAATAAAGCTAATATGAGCTAAGAGAAAGAGGAGGACTCAATTGCGAAATAAGAAGACCAAAATAGGAATTATGTGAGGCCCCAAAAGGGAGGGGAAGCAACCCAAGTGGATGCAAGACTACATGGTCACTAACATTAAGTGCAAGAGTAGAGTTGGTAAAAAATAGATTTTGTTAGATATTAGTTGATTATGCTCTAATAGTCTATATATGTATTTGCTTTTGGTTGGGAAATGGACAACTTGAAACATCTCTTTATCTGATATTCCTATCTATTCTATATTTTTTCCTTTCTGAACCTACCATTTTTAAACCTCTCTTATTTTTAAACCTACCATTTGGTGCTTTTGTTGAGAGCATTGCAAGGTCTTCATCTTTGAAAGATATTGCCACCATGAAAGCACTTATTTTTACCATTTAAGCTTTATCCACCAAACTCAACGCCTTGGAAACCAAAGTTGCATAGGCAAAACTAAGAATTGATAACTCTAACCATCTATTATAATTATCTATCACCATCCAACTTGTCTGTCTCGATTCAATGATGATGATCCCGTGGGTTGGATGTTCAAGGTAAATCAATTCTTTGATTACCACCAGACCATTGATGAGCAACGATTGCAAATTGCAACACTCTACATGGAGGGAGAAATCCTAAGTTGGTACCAATGATACATACCAATGGTTAACTTATGTCTTGGTTCACATTTCTCAGATCCTTGGAATTGCGATTCCCTTTAGATTTTGATGATCCTCAAGGTACCCTCTTTTAACTATATCAAACAAATTCAATCCGAGAATACCAATCTCAAATTTAAAATTAGCTAATCATGTTCACAGTTTATCAACACCATTTTACATAAGTTGCTTTATCTTCAGTCTCAAAAGAGATCCAATGTGAAGTCATTCTATTTGCTGCAAAACCTAAATCAGGGTACGTTGCTTAGACGACCCACCTTTTCTTTCAAAGCGACGTCTTCTACGATGTCAAGAATGGCAGGACCCTTATCCACAAATGGAAAGGGGTTATTCCTTACGCCCACCGATTCTTGGATTTGCAAACTCCCTCGTGGCGATCTACCGTCTTGAGGGGAAGAGGGGCTTTGTTATTATTGTGATGAGATATTTACATCGGGGCACCTATGTCAGAAGCGATTTCATCTTCTGATTGGAACACCAAAATTTTGATAGCTAACGTTGAACTCACGAGGTTGCTAAACGGTTTTGAGCATGAGCAGAATCCATCATCCGACCATCATACCACTTCCTAATGATCCTTTTCATCTCAGTCCATGTATTAACCATTGGCTTCTCATTTCTAGCTCTCTCCTTTTGTAGCTTATTCCACCAAACAAGAGCATAGTCCAAAAATTCCGTAGCTGCAAGCCTCACCTTTGGGGTCTCCTCATAATTGTTGCATGAAAAAACATGCTCTATTTTCCTCTCTCACTCCAAGTATGCTTGCGGATCACTTTTTCCTTTAAACGGAAGAATGTTAAGCTTGACTCCTTCAAGCCTACTTGGTCTTGCTACTCCATCATTCCTTCTCTTATTTCTCCTTTCTTCTTCATCTTCGTGACCTCTATTCTCCAATAGATCCAATCTTTCATAGAGTTCATTGTTATGTCGTATCATTAATCATTCTAAATATTGTGTCAATACCCTCATTTGGACTAGACTAAGTCCTACTTCTTGATTGTAATTTTCCTCCTCTGCCATCACAACAAATGAATCAAAAGCAACAGATAAAAAAAAATATTGTAACCTCACTACACTCAAGTGCATCACACAATTATGACTTTTCCTCTGATGAAAATACTCTTGCCTTTTATCACTCAAATTCTCCTTAGGTTTTTAGGAAATTCAAGAGATTATGGCCACAACAAAGAACAAATCACAAAAACAAAGGGGTAAAAGAAAAATTGGTAAACAAGAGAATTAACAAAATCTTTCAAGATCACCAATATATTACCTTATAACAAATTGTTCAAAAGCATGAATCATTCAGTCCAAATTTATTTTTATCACTTTCAACCAAATTATAAAATACTGTAACTTTATTTTATTTTATTTTATTTTTTTAATTTTCACAAGGGCCTAATTTTTTTTTTACAATGATTCAACACAATCACAAATAATATGAACAAAGTAAGGTAATCACTTGGTAAAAAGAGAATGAAGGAAAGATGTTACTAATTTGACGTTCAAACCCTTAAATCGGAGTTCTGAATACCAAATGATATGAACCTCATTTGCACAAAGGCTGATTTAGGATTTTTAGGGTTAGAACCTTGTCAGAAATTTAAGAAATTAGTGAGAATGCGGATTAGAAAGTGGTAAAAGTTTTAGGATAGGGCAAAATTTTAGAAACATCGATATCTCAAGCTATAAAACTCCGATTGAGGTGATTAATAAACGAGGTGAAAGTTCTCGTTCTGAATTTCAATTTAGGCTAAAAAAACACTCAATTTGGACGAGTAGAAGAAAATTGTGACCATGAAATAAATCTGGGCAGAATTGAGTTTTCTAGGTTCTGGGGAAGAAAAAACAAGAGATGAATGTGAAAGGTCGAAGGAAAGAATCACTCTTCTTAAGGGAGACAACTAACAAAGAATGTGAAAGTCCTTTGATATAGTTAATGGTTCTTAAATCACTCAAAAACTTAGGAGAATCACTCTCACTAAGATAAAAGAGCTAAACTCTAATATTTCAAAATAAAACTCAACATGTATTTTTGATAAAAATGGTTTAGCTTATATAGAAGTTTTGCCATCAGAGTTGTTGAAAGTCCCACATCGCCTACCTCATGTCATTTGGTATGGTTTAAATACATGTTAGGCTACTCCACATATTGCCAATTGGAATGCTATTATTCGAATCTTAAAATACATTAAAAAAGCTTCAGGACAAGGTTTATTATATGAAGATAAGGGAAATACCCAAATTTTTGGGTACTGTGATGCTGACTGGGTTGGATCTCCCATGGATAGGCGTTCCACTACAGGCTATTGTGTTTTCTTTGGAGGTAATATCATTTCATGGAAAAGCAAAAAACAAAACGTTGTTCGATCCTCTGCTGAAGCTGAATATAGGGCAATGACGTCTCTTACTTGTGAACTTGTTTGGGTAAAACAATTCTTGTAAGAATTGAATTTCTGTGAGATTCAATCTATAAACATGTATTGTGGTAATCAAGCTGCTCTTCACATTGCTTCCAACCCAGTATTTCATAAGAGGACTGAGCATATTGAGATTAACTGTCACTTTATTCGGGAGAAGTTGTTGACTAAAGAAATTTGTACTGAGTTTGTTGGTTCCAATGATCAGCTTGCAGATGCATTAACAAAATCTTTAAGAGGACCTCGAATGAAATTCATTTGTTCCAAGCTTGGTACATTCAATTTATATGCTCCAGCTTGAGGGGGAGTGTTGAAGTATTTATTAGATTAATTGTATCTTGGTGGGCATTTATGAGATTAGTTGTAGACCTAGTTCCTAGAATGCATCTGTTTATCTTCTCTAGGATTAATCATGTCTCTATTAATTATATCTCTGAATCTGTATTTTTAT